TCCCCAAGCCGCATCTGGCCCTGGGGAGGGAAGGAGTGGGTGCTGGGCTTGAGCATCGCCCCCCTCCCAAAGCCCCATCCTGCTCTGCCGGGGGAGCGGTTGGGAGCTGGGCTGGGGCCTCATACTGCTTCCAAGATCTTATCCTGCCCTGGTGAGGGAAGGCTTGGGTGCTGGCTTGGGCCTAACCCCCCTCCCAAGGCCTCATCCTGCCCTGGAGCAGCTGCTTGGGCTGTGGTCTCTTCTTCCTCCCTCAGGACCGCATCCTGCCCTGGGATGGGGAAGGGGTGCCTGCTGGAGCTGTGTTATTACCCCTTCCCAGGCCCATCCTGCCCTGGGCTGGGTGCTGGGGCTTTGTGGTTTTCCTCAGAGAGGGCCACACTTGGGTGCAAGACCCTGAGGGTCGGCTGTGATCTTATGGTTTAGGGATAAGATGTGTATGTGGTGCTGCTGGGCTGCCTTGCGGGGAGGGTGCCTTTGGAACCCCACGGGGGAATGAGCAGAGATGGGGGCCCTGCTCTGGGGCGTTTGGGTGGGTGGATGGGGTGGTACTTGGAGCTGCTCCCTGCCCTGCGGCGGGGGCCGGGGTAGCAGCACAGCTGGCTGCAGCCCCCATCACAGTTGGCCTGTGAAGGATGCTGTGCCCTGGAGCAGTGCGATGCTGGGGAGGGCAGGCTGGCCAGCATTTGCAGCTCTACTGAAGGATAATCGGGTTTTTTTTTTCCTATGGCGCTGTTGGCCCTCGGCAGCATGGGCCTGCACTGAGATGCTCCTTGCCTAAACAATGAGGAAGGAAGATGCTTTTTGCAGGTCACCGCATGGCTGGTTATGCAATGGCAAATGCCCTCTGAACTCAGCGTGCAGCGGAGGTGTGCGAAGGCCTGAGGTGTGCGAGAGCTTGCTTGCCCTCTTACCCTACAGAGGCTTTTCTGGAAGAATGACCCACAAGTGAATTTCTGCTACTTCCCTTTTCCTGTGGGCTGGACCCCCGGAAGACTTTTCCAAGGGATTGCCAGATTCCTGGATAGTGAATCCAAATCTACAGGCAGTTGTTTGGGCTCTTCTGAGCTGTGTCTTGTCCTGCCAGGGTTTCTGGGCCACAGGCTAACACCCGCTGACTTAAACCACAGCCCGGAGGGGAACAAGCTGCCTGGAAGTGGCTTTTCCAGAGCTGTGGTAGGGGCGTGTGCTCTCTGTTGGCGTTTGAGCTCAGTTCCTGTCATTCCTCCTGCTGTTATGAGTGTATGTTAATAGCAGTGCTCTATTAAACATTGTATCTGAAAATGTATAAATTAAGGTTGCGATAAAGTCTTCAACTGCAGGCAGAGTGAAGAATTGAAGTATTGTAATCATAGGGCTGCAATTATGTAACTGGATTCTCTTTCTCTCTGGATAGCAGGCTCCTTTAATTGCTGTAACAAAGCTACTCCTTCAGTTTTCTGGGACTGTTCCAAGAAGCGATCATTGCAGCAGATTTTCTTCACTCCCTGGTAGAGCTAAAAATGTGTAGTTTCACTATTTCAAAACATGCTTGGTAGTATCACTCAAGCCTTACAGCACTGTGAAAGGACTTAGGAAACTTAGTGGTGTTCTGCAGGCTTAATTGGAGGCACTCCTTGCCATTAAGAAGCTTATTCCCACAAAGTTTTCACATGCTCTGGTAAGAGCTGCTGCTGAGGTGAGCAGCTGGGGTCCTTCTCAGCGTGGACCTTTGCTCGACCGGTCCCCCAGATAATGTGTGCCTCCTGAGCGGGCCTCACGTGTGCTTGGGAGCAAGGGGTCTGGTGCCCAGAGGGGTGCTGGAGCGTGCCAGCCAGCAGCAGGGCTGCACGGGGCTCCTTCCCCAGGGCATGTGTCGCGTGGCCTTTGCTTGAGGAAAGGCTGCGGGGCTACCAAATCCCCATTTTTCTGGGATAATGTGAACTGCAGTGGAAAATTCCCAATGCTGAATGCCTCCCTGGAAAGGCTGTGGCAGACCTGTGTGTAGATGGCTGGTACAAAGCACCTGAACTAACTGGCAGAGTGACTGGGGCTGAATGCTCAGCTCCAGTGTACCACTTTCTAGTTTCTTAAAGGTCACGGGCAGCACTAGCATGCTGGTTTTCAGCATCTGTGTTGTGGTTCACAGGCAGGGGGAGGAAAAGGAGGCTGCTTTGCCAGGCCATAGCCATGCTAAGCTCTGTGGCAGGGCTTGCTTCCCCATGCCCCTGTTTCTAGGCTGCAGCATGGCGTTAACCTGTTTCTGGCTCGTCAGACTGGCTTGGTCCCATGGGAAGAGCTGGCATCTGGGTTTCAGTGGCAAAGCGGTGGTGAGGTGAGGGGATGATGATAGGCTGAATGTGGAACAACACTCCTTCCAGGCTGAGCTAGCAGCAGTAAGTGTAACTCCTGGCATGGGGTGGAAGAAAAAGCGCTGCTAAGATGCTTCCTGAGCCTCCCTGCTGGGGACGGGCAGGCTGGGGTCCGTCGCTTGCAAGGCTCTGAACAGATGATGCTCCAAACCACTGGTGCACCTGGAAGGCAAACTTGGCTGTAGCCTATTGATGTATAGGAGGGCTGTGGCTCTGCAGATCCCGTCTCCTCCCACACAGTAAGCTTTTTCTGCATGTGTTTAATGCAGGTGCTGATATTGGGCGCTCTCTGATCTAACCTCCAGGCAGTGCCAGTGCTCTGGCTCTGAGGGGCACCTTAGCCCAGGATTCCTCTGGGCTACCCTGATAAACTTGTGTCGCAGCCTGCCGTAGAAGGGACAACCTCTGATGTACAGGAAGCTTCTCCTTTCTCGGGAAGGGATTAAAGGAATCTATGTTCTGCCTTAGGTTCACGATGTCTGACAGAAAGGCTGTGATCAAGAATGCGGACATGTCTGAGGACATGCAGCAGGATGCTGTAGACTGTGCTACACAGGCAATGGAGAAGTACAACATAGAAAAGGACATTGCAGCATATATAAAGAAGGTAACTACGGGATGAGGGGGCTGCTCTGGCTCAGACTTCCTGAAGTTCTTAAGTACGTGTGCCTGTGATGAGCCTGCATGTCTGTCTGAGACTTCATACTTGTGTGGCTGGAGGAAGAAGATGCTTTCTTCTTTGCTTCTTTACTGCTATTCCCAAGGGGATGGAGTGACTTCTCCAAGGTCAGGGGAGGGCTGTGGCAGAGCAGGGCCTGCTCTGTTGTTCTGGCAAGCTCTGAGCAGGCAGTGTGAGTGCTGTCCCTCTGGATTTGCCAGCCTAGAAAGAGCTGGCTGCAGTCTCTCTTAGCACTTGCTCCACAGATGCTGCTGCTTGACTTGCAGTACCAGTGTGGGGTGGGATTACTATTTTACTCAGCGGGCAGCTGTGCACGTGTGGTTCTGTGTGCCATGCTCCTGGCTCCGGGGTGAGTGGTGTGGGAGGAGGATGGGGCCTTGTGCTGACTGGCAGTGTTGTGAAAGGTGCTGCTTTAAAAATGGTGTGAGCAGCTGCCCCAGCTTGTGAAGAGGTGTCTCCCTATTTGCAGGAGCCCATTAACTTCAGTCTTGTGCTTGATGGCATCTAGGGAGCTGTCAGTTCCCTCTGTAGCTGCTTCTCCAAGTGCTTGGGCAAAGTGCTTTTAAAGGAGGAAAGTGTGACTTCATAGGCAATGTGGTCCTGGCACCTGGGCTAGCTTTTGGGCCTTGCTTGTAATCTAAGCTTGAAGGTAAAGGTTTGAAAGGTGTCTCCTGACTACTTGGATCACTTTGATCGGAGGCAAGACTTATCTCAAAGCGCTCGGGGCAATGCAGCCTGTAAAGTGAGTGCAGCAGAAGGCATCCAAAAAGAAGTTGGTCTCTATTTCCTGGGAGTGTGTTGGGAGGAGGGAAGGAATTTGATGCACCTTCATGCCCTGGCAAGAAAGCTTTTCCTTACTTCAAAGGTTACCTGCAAAGAGCTCCAACTGCCTTGCTGCTGTCTGAGGACTAACACTTGCTTTAATCTTGAATGTTGAGTCTGTTCTTCTGGTGCCCTCTCAGGGGAGGGAGGGGTGTTCTTGGGAGTTGTCTATTAATTAGAGGGAGGAAGATGGTCTTTAACCCTCTCCTACCTGCTCTGTAGGAGATGACTGACTATTAAGCCAGCATTCAGCTTGCTTGCCTCTGACCTCTTGGGTCTTCATGCGCTGTCTGGCCTGTGAATTTGCCCGCTTATTTTCAATGCGGATTTTCTCCCCTTTATGTGAAGAAGAGACCCAAACAGCAGAGGCCAGGCTTCTCCTTCCTTTTTTTAGGTGACCTTTAAGCTCAAATGCCTTGTTGGAGCAGACATGCCAAGATCTTTTTTTATATTTTTTTTCTGAGTGGGCTTGGAATGGGAGAGGAGAAATATTCCCCTGAGCTAGCCTACACGCAGGGCTTGAATAGCACTGTACCAAGGAGAGCTCTTAGGTCCACTTTCTGTTCTGCCCAGGGCTGACGGGTGCTCCAGGTCTCAGGAGATGATTCACTTGTGTTGGATCCTTTGAACAATCCAGCGCACAGGTCTGGTTGTGGCATCAGTACCTCACTTAATATAATAGCGTCTTGCGGTGGGGAATCTAAAGATGCTGCAGGTGGGAGGAGAGGCAACAGTGTGTGGACAGAATCAGCTAAGAATTGGTGCTTAAAACTATTTTCATGTGGGCTTTCTTGGCCTTAATGCCTCTCTTCTCTTTCTTCAGGAATTTGACAAGAAATACAACCCAACTTGGCACTGCATTGTTGGCAGAAACTTTGGCAGCTATGTAACACATGAGACAAAGCACTTCATCTATTTTTACTTGGGTCAGGTTGCAATTCTTCTCTTCAAGTCTGGATAGGAAGCAGGAGCGAGTGAAACTTGGACTGTAATGCACTGATGGCTGAAGCCACGACTCCCTTTAACATGGCTATGCCGCTGCATGGACTGTATACTATATTTAATGTGTATATGTTGCAGTAAAAATCTACTTCTGTTTAGTTGCCTGGGAAGAAGGCGGCATTTTTTTTGTTACTGCTTTTTTTGGTTGTATTGCACTAGGAAACCTGTAAATGCTTAAACAATGGCCTTTACGTGGGAAGAAATAAAACTATTCCACAACAGCTCCCTCAGTGGTAACTCCTTCTTTGAGGCTGGGAAAACTTCTTTGGGCAGGCCAAAAGACCCTGACTTCCTTACTGAGTTTTATTAGACTGTTAATCTTGTAACGAGGAGCAAAGCCAGTGTGAGCTGCTGTACCCACCCTGCAGACTGTAGAGAGCTGGCTCTCCCAGTAACCTCAGTGCAGGTACTTAGACCTTCCCTGAAAGCTGACGGGGTGGCTCTTGATTACGTGGCTTTCACACACAAGTTGAACTCCACCTCGGACTGTGATAAACAGACTTGCAGCTGGCACCCTCGGTGTTCTCTTTCAGTGCCCGTCACTGTATTTTTGGCTCTGCTGACACATTGACCTAGACTTGTAAGCAACTCAGCCTGGTCTAGAAGACTTCAACAAACATCCCCCCGAGTCGCTGCTTGCTGTGGAAAGCAGCATCCTGTGGCTGAAGTCTCTAGACCTTGATACTGAGCTCTGAAGCCACGTAGCCTGTCCCTGAAATGGAGTAGGATCTCAAATTGGTGACTACTGACAACAGCTATTTGGCATGTTCTTAGCCAGTTGTCTCAACACTGCCTTAACTCGATGCTCTCCTTAAAGCAAGCTAGTCATGTGGAAGACTTGTAAGTGGCCAATGTCTCCTTTTTTTTATTTTCTGTAGCTGATAAGCTATTTCTGGAGGACTGTCCTCCATGTTCTGATATCTGCTTTTGTTCTTAAAGCACAGTACCAAGAAGTTAAATTTACATGTGATGTTTGTGTGAAGGAAACTCATGTGACATCTGCTTCAAAGGCAGACAAATGTCTTGGTCTCCAATAGGGTCAGCAGGGATGTTGTCTTAGTATTCAGCAGTGATGTTGTCTTAGTATGTACTGACTCTTGGATTATGCTGCAGGAAGTTCTTTTTATCTGGGTGCGGAGAAATGCTGTGTGATGGCAAGTAGGTATCTGGTGCTTGTCATCAGGTCTATTTATTGGCTTGCCAACTAATGCATAGATGAGAGCGCTGGGCTGGTGAGCCTGGCGTGTCTGATATGAATTTGGTGTTGGTAATAAGTCACTGCTGGGGGAGAAAGGGCAGAGCGAAGGAAGCTCTTCACTGTGGAATGACTCGATGACCCAGGTTGACTACTTCCTGAAGTAAAAGTCCTTCTTGTCTCTGTGCAAAATCCAAAGTATGCCTAATTTTGTAATATTGATAGAACAATGTTGTAACTAGAAAGAATGTAGCTGTCATAACTTCATGTTGATGGAAATGTCTGCACTGGGGCAATGTGCCTTGGACTGTCTGGGGCACTCTTGTGGTCTTGTCTGTTCAGAACTCCACTCTGGATCTGAAAGGAGAATGTTTTGGGGTTTGGGTTTTGGGTTTGGGTTTTTTTTTTGTTTTTTCTTTTCCCCAAGCATGAGTCTAATGTGAACCTGTTCACGGTCTCTCGTGGAGCAAGATCTGTTCCCTTCATAACTGCAATGGCTCAAATACCATTTATTTTTTTCAAACATTAAAGGTGACTTGACACATTTAAACAGCCTCTAGTTTCTTCTTCTTTGCCAGCTGTCCCAAGCAAAAACTGCACTCTTGCAGAGAGGGCGAGCAGTGAGTTCTCTGCCCTGGAAGATGCTGATGACCCGAAGGAGGCAGGTCTGTGGAGGGAGGAACTTGACTGAAGAGCGTATGCGGCCCATCTGTGCTGGCGCTGACCTCCAGCCTGGCTCAAACACCACTCCAGGAGGAGGGGTGGAGGGCAGTGTGCCCCGCTGCAGCCCCCATGGGATGATTTTGTGCCAAGTGCCAAGATGTGAAGGCACCGGGGCTCACCCCTCGATGACTTCAGACAAACCGGGGGTGGTCTAGCAGCTGGGCTCCTGTGCAAGCTCAGAGGTGTCTCCCTGCTTTGCAGGAGAGTAGGTTTCCCCTTCAGCCTTCCTCCCTCTGCTCGGGAGAAAGGCGGGATCTGAAACTCCTGCCAGTCGCCTGAAGCTGGTGTGTGTTCAATGCTTCTCGGGCTGCAGGGGCTGTAGGCTTGCCCTTAACCCCCCTCAGCTTGCTATCTTGCTCCTGACGCAACCTAAATTTGGGGTTGTGGCCTCCCTGATATTTTGGAAAAGCTGTGGGCACTTACCAGCTACAGTAGTGTAACAGCTACGCTGTGGGACAGTAACACCAACATGAGAAACAAGGGGAAGCTGAGCTGCAGGCGAACATGACTCATGCTAAGCAGCTACGAAATGAGCTGAACCCAAAACTCCCAAGCGAGCAGCAGTACGGCTGTTACGCGCAGGCAATCTGCTATAACCTGCACCTGGCAGTGCTGAAAAGCAGAGGTGGTTTCTACTTTGAGGGGGAGCCGGCAGCGATGCTCCTCCCTCAGTAGTCCCAGCCAGCCTTTTAGCTGCAAGTGCCGTTGCAGGGCTTAAGCTCCGGCCGTGCTGGGGCTCTGCACGCCTGGCTGGGTCTGGCTTAACGCTGCGGCTCCAAGAAAACATTTGCAGCCTTGTGGGGCTGGGGTAGCGGAGCGCCCGTGGTGCACAGGGCGCTCAGTCAAAGCTGGTAGCAGAGAAACTGGCTCCTGAATGCCAGCTGCAGCACAGGAGGCTGCTAATCCCAGCCTGAGCTGAAAAACTTTTCCAGCCTGAGTTCCGTCTCTGGGAAAGCACCCCTTCCAGCCACGTATCCAGTGGCTGCGGTGCTGGTGCGAATTGGTCCCCGGCGGGATGTGGAGGCCCTGCCAGGAAGGCAGTGTCCTGGAGGAACGGCGTGTCCTGGAGCTTGACGCATGCAAGGAGAAAGTGGGTTTGGTGCTTCCTTGGATGTGTCACTGCAGCAGGAGTCCTGCTTCAGGCTAAGGAAAAGAAGCTCAAGCTCACGCCTTTAGCAATTAGGCAGTGAAACCGAGCGCTGCTCACCTCCCTGTAACCCCTGCAATGGACATGGGTGCTGTGCGTCCTCAGCCTTCCCCCTAAACTGTCTTTTTGCGTAGCGCTGGGGCTCTGGAAGATACAAACTGCCTAAAGTTCCTCTACACCACTGAGAGCAGGGTGAGGTTTTAACACAGAGCTTTCTGTCCCCGCTGCCTTCCCCTCCCGCTCCCCAGCAGCTGTCCCAACACAGCTTTTGGCTTTGCCTTTTTCCATTGCTGGCCTCCGATTTGTCTCCAGTTTCCAGCAGATGCAGGTGTCCTGCACGATGCCTCGGAGCGTTAACTGCTTCCGTGCTGGAGGGGCCAACAGTGTCCCTAGGATGGCTGCTCAGTTTCCACGGGGGCATGAAGCTATTTGGAAACATCTGGATCTGGGGCACTGAGTGGAAGGTATGTATCTGGGGGGAAACATCTGGAGGAAAAAACTGCTTCCAGATGTGTTTGGGCAAAAATGCTTTTTAAATGTAAACTCAATATACGTTACTGCCCAGCCTCACAAGTATTCAAAAAGGGTCTGATTGCAAGGGAGTCCGAGGTGCTGCTGCCTGTGGGTGGAGGTCTGGGGGCAGGACAGCATCTGCAGATGTGCGTGTGCGTTCACTGCGGGCAACGGCACGGTTCGCAGCTGGGGAGAGCGTCTGGGGGCAGGACAGCATCTGCAGATGTGCGTGTGCGTTCGCTGCGGGCAACGGCGCGGTTCGCAGCTGGGGAGAGTGTCACATCATTTTCTCTTGTACAAACCAAGTTACTCAATTCCTCATGTTGAGTATTTCTTCCAGATGTGGCCTTACAACAGCAAAGCTTTGCGGCACTGAAGAGCAGACGGGCTGGTGTTGGTAGCTGTGCTCCGGGAGTGTAACTACTAGACATTATCTAGGATTCATTCTTCTGCGGAGGGAGCGTGGTGTAAAGCTGCGGGAGAAGGTGTGCGACTCTGTTAGCAGGGAGAGCTAGCCTTGCTCCCTGCCTGCCTGGCACAACGTTCTTCCCCCTTCTCTGTGACCAACCTGGGGACTCCGGGAAGGGACAAAGTGATGGCAACGTCCTCCCTACCCTGGGCATCTTCTCCCAAGTAGCTAGCAATAGGACGAGAGGAAATGGGCTCAAGCTGCGCCAGGGGAGGTTTAGATTGGATATTGGGAAAAATTTCTTCAGGGAAAGGGTGGTCAAGCATTGGAACAGGCTGCCCAGGGAGGTGGTGGAGTCGCCATCCCTGGAAGCGTTCAGAAAACAGGCAGACGTGGCACTCTGGGACATGGTTTAGTGGGCATGGGGGTGTTGGGGTGATGGTTGGACTGATGATCTTAGAGGGCCTTTCCAATCTTAATGATTCCTAGTTTTTACTTTCATTATAAATAATCCAGCCACCAAGCCAGGAAACATGAAATTACTATGCTACCCTTAACTGGTTTAATGGTGGACTTGGTAGTGTAGGTTAATGGTTGGACTGGATGATCTTAAAGGTCTTTTCCAACCCAAACGATTCGATGATTCTGTTCTATCCTGTGCAGGGACCAGGCGTTGCGCCCTGCTCCCGTGGGAACACCCAGGTCCGTGCCCCGCTTCCCTCCCGCCCAGCACAGCCAGCCCGTGGCACTGCCGTTGCAGCGTCAGTCGTCCCCACGCGCGTGGAAGCAGAGCCTGTCGCTGGTGAACCCGGTTCCCAACGGACGTGTTCCTCCTCACAGTGCTTTTGCGGGAGATTTGAGATGAAGAGAGAAAACGCGGAAATCATTTCTATCTCGCTTTCAGCCTCCGGCGGGTAAGTCCTTAGGAGGCCGGTGCCACGCGGTGAAGGAAGCAAGGCTGTGCCATCCCTGCCCACCCGAGGTTTCCCTGCTTTGTTCTATTTATTGAAAAAGGATTCTGACACCCTTTCCCAGACTGTGACTCATAGCAGCACTGTCTGTGCATAAGCCATGCATCTCGGAGCGCTTTATAGAAACGGGAGCTGCAGGAGCCTCGCAGGAGCCAACTGTGTTTATTAAAAGATGATCAGATGTTTCCCCCCTTAAGGCAGTGTCTAGCTGAGGCTGAGTAATAACTCATTACCAACGAGACAAATAACTGCTTATCATCGGGTCAGCGCCTTCACCAGCCCTTCTGTTAGCGACGGCAGGCGCCATGCGTCTCCTGC